TAAATTAAAAAAAAAGTTAGGGCTGGGAGCCTTCAGGTGGCCTGGTGGCTATGGTAGCTAGACTCCCATATGGCTGACTGTGGTTTGAGTCCCAGACCTGGCAGCTTGCTTTCTCAATTTCTGTTTTTCTCTGGTCAACTTAAAAACAAACAAAACAAAATGACAATGAATAAAATTAAATCATTCTTTTTTTAATATGAAAATTAAATAATTCTTGTGAAAAAAAGGTTAAGGCTGGGACCATGGCCTAGTAGTTAAGGAAGCTGACTGCATGGTTCGAGTCCCAGACCTGATGGCTTGAAAAACACTCTGGCAGGGCCAGTAGGCAGTGTAGTGTTTAAGGCCCTGGACTCCCACAGAGCTGACCGCAGTTTGAGTCCTAGACCTAGAGGCTTAAAAATCACACCAGGCATGTGTGCATGCATGACCTAAATCCCAAGAGGAGAATAAAGAAGAAGGGATTGAGGCATGGCCATACTCCCAACGGGTGACTTCTCACTTTCCCTCTCCGTCTCTCTCCAATGGGCACATGTACCCTATGGCAAACACCTAAAAAACCACGGTTCGAGTCCCAGACCCAATGGCTTAAACTCACACCGGGCCCGTGTGCATGTATGGCCAAGATCCTGAGAGGAGAATGGAGGAGAAGTGGCGTGGCCATCCCCCCTGGGGGGTGATTTCTTGCTTTCTGTCTTTCTATCTCTGTCTTTCTGGCGAGCACGCGCACCCTATAGCAAAAACCTCTCAAAAAAAAAGGCAACATTACATCAGAGGACTTATATGATATCCCTGAATTTTACACATTTCAAATAATTCAAATGATGTGTTATTATTTAAAAAAAAATCAAATATGTCAAGGAACAAAATCCTGGATCTAAATTTAGACCCATAAATTTTTGCTCAGCTCTTTTTTATTCTATAAAGATGTCAAGATAATTCTAGAAGAAAACAGACTTCACAAAGACAGGTTTTTTTTTTTTAAGAAAAATTAGATATCTAGCTGCAAATAAGCAAGTAGAGGAGAAACAACAGCAGAAACAGTAACCTAAATTCAAAACTAATTCAGAAGGTATCTCAGAACTAGATATAAAAGATAACATTTGGGGACCAGCAGTTAGTGTAATGGTTATGTTGTTGGACTACCATGTAGTCGACCACGGTTCGCGTCTTGGACCTGGTGACTTAAAACTCACGCCGGGTGCGTGTCATACTGTAATTGTAAAATAAAATTTAAAAAAAGAATTAAAATTTTTTTATGTATTAATTTTTTAAAAAAAATGTTGACCAGAGAGAGACAGAGGGGGAGATCAGAGAGAGTACAGAGAGAGAGAGAAAGTGAGAAAGCAAGTGAACCATGGTTGGCCATTTGGGAGTATCCAGCACCTTAACCACCACCATGCCACCTGCTGGTCCCCTGGCCCTCACTTTTTAAAAAATATGTTTTGTTTCGTTGAGAGATTTTTGCTATAGGGTGCGTGTGCTTACTGGAGACAGAGACAGAAAGCAAGAAATAGGGGTGATGGCCACACCGTGATCCCTTCCTCCTCGATTCTCCTCTTGGGATTTTGGACACCGATCCCTTCCTCCTCAATTCTCCTCTTGGGATTTTGGACACACGTGCACACGCACCCAATGAGTTTTAAGCCGCAGAGTCTGGAAATCAAACCGCAGTTGACTACATGAGAGTCTAGTGACGTAACCATTATGCCATCTGCTGGTCCCTAAAAATATTTTTATTTTGCCAGACGGCTGGCCATGTGGGATCTGACTCCCTTAACCACCAGGCTGTAGGGACAGTTCCATATATCATTTTCTCCATGCCTTCAAAGTTTTTCCATTTTTTAGAAATTTTGTTCATTGTCATTATTTTATTTTTTTGAAGTTGACCAAAAACAGAGAAGGGAAGTGAGAAAGCAAGCCGGCAGGTTCAGAACTTGAACCATGGTCAGCCATGTGGGAGTCCAGCTGCCTTAACCACCATTCCACCTGCTACCACCAAGTTTTTCCTTTATTTTTTATTTTTATTTTTTTAGGTTTTCCCTTTGGGTGTGTGAGCTCACGAGGGAGAGGGAGAGAGGGAGAGAGAGAGAGAGAGAGAGAGAGAGGAAGAGAGAGACAGTAAAAGTGAGAAATCACCTCCTGGGAAGGATGGCCATGCCACAATTCCTTCTCCATTTTCCTCTTGGGATATTGGGCATGTATGCACATGTGCCCAGTGTGATTTTCAGGCCACCATGTCTGGGACTCAAACCTTGGTCAGCCATGAAGGAGTCCACTGATGTAACTGCTATTCCATCTGCCAGTTCCATCCATCCATGTCTTTAGCTCTTTGAGCATATTTTGTTTCAAAGAATTATTTATTATTTGTTTTAATTTGATCAGAGAAAAACAGAATGTGAGAAAGCAAGCTGCCAGGTCTGAGACTTGAACTGTGGTCAGCCATGTGGGAGTCCAGTGTCTTCAATCACCACTGCACCTGCCGGCCCCCTTTGAGCATATTTCTGACAGTTGTGTTAGTCTTTGTGTAGCAGGTGCATCGTCTGGTATTTCTCAGGACTAGATGTTTATTGTTTACCTTTCCTTCCCTATCAATGGGCCATAGTCTGTGACTTGTGATTTTTTTGAAGTTTCTCTTCCATGACTGAGAGACCAGGAGTCAGATAGCAACCCCATCTGGGTTATAATGCCGCAATCCACCCAGCCTCACTCAACCCCCAAACTGAAGACATGCAGGTGACTGGCACACTCAGTGAGGTCTCTGGACACAAACCTGGAACCCTGCCATGTGGGTCAGAGCATTTTACCACTGTTCCACTCTCCAGCCTCAACTTGTGATTTTCTGTTATAGAAAACAATCTTGAAATAAAAAATGTGGTAACTCTGGAAACCAGATTCTATACCTTCCCTGGGGTTTTCCAGTTCGTTTTTAAACTGCTGTACCTTGTTTGCATGCCGAAGATCAGCTCGAGGTGTAATTGCAAACTGCACTGTTCCAAATAAGCTATTAGGTATTTTGGAAAGTCACAATGTATTTTTCCATGTTTTCCCATACAAAAAATGTGTCATGACTTTCTCGAGACCCAATAGATCCCACCTAGTGACCATGGTTCAAATCCCTGGTCCAGTGAGCCTGAAACATACCTGGGCACATGTTCAAGTGTCCAAGATCTAAAGGACTGGAGGACTGGAGGAAGATCATGGTGTAACTGGACTCTGTGGAGGGTGCTTCTCTCTCTCTCTCTCTCATGTACATGCACACATAATCTTTTTTTTTTTTTGGAGAGGTTTTTGCTATAGGGAGCGTGCACTCGTCAGAAAGAGACAGAGAGACAGAAAGCGAGAAATCACCCCCCAGGTGGGATGACCCCACCGCAATCCCTTCTCTTCCATTCTCCTCTTGGGATCTTGGGCACACACGCACACGTGCCTGGCGTGAGTTTAAGCCACTGGGTTCGGGACTCAAACCACAGTTGACTACATGGGAGTCCAGCAACATAGCCATTACACCAACTGCTGGTCCCTAATCTTTGTTTTTTAAAAATAATTATTTAACTTTTTAATTTTTATTTAAATTTCACCAAAGAGGGACAGAGTGAGAGAGTGAGAGAAAGAGAGAGAAAGCGAGAAAGCAAGCTGCCAGGTCCAGGGCTTGAACTGTGGTCGGCCATGTGGGAGTCCAGCGCCCTTAACCACCACACCACCTGCTGGCCCCCATGTACAGACAATGTACCTACCATGAAGAAAGAAAAAATACTAAATTTACTCAAATGAATTTGGTGAAGCTATATTTGAGAATTTGTGAATTAGGTTTTTTTTAATCTAGCCTTCCTCAAATTCATGCTGTGTGCAAGTTGTTTTGAAATTTCTTTTTAAAAAGATATTGGTATAGGCCGCACGTTTGCACTGGACAGACAAGAGAGAGACAGAGACAAAGTGAGAAATCATCCCCGGGGGGATGGCCATGCCACAGTCCCTTTTCCTCCATTCTCCTCTCGGGATCTTGGGCATGTATGCACACGTGCCCGGCATGAGTTTTAAGCTGCCGGGTCCAGAACTCAAACAGCAGTTGACTACGTGGGAGTTCAGTGATGTAACCATTAAATCTGCTGGTCCCAAGTTTTGAAATTTCTTCAACCTGGGCCAGTGGGTGGCATGATAGTTAAGGTGCTGGATTACCACATGGCTGATAGCAGCTCCTTTGAGTCCTCAACCTGGCAGCTTGCTCTCTCACTTTCCCTCTCTCTGGTGAGTGCGCAACAAATTAGAAAATGATGATGAAAAAAATTAAATAATTTTTAAAAATTCTTGAATCTGATCTTGTTCTCACAGAAGACTTCTGTTTCAGCTAGACTTGTACAAACTCACTTTAAGTTGATTCTGACAATTCATTTGAATAATGATTGGACTTCAGTTAGATTTGCTGAACTTATGTTGGAAAGTTTTTTTCAGAGCCTGTCTTCAACACTGTTCTTTTTTCAGTTATATTTGCTTAAATGCAGATGAGAAGACAATTTTAAGAATTTGTGCATCTGGGGGCTGGCAGGTACCATGGTGGTTAGAGGCACTGGACACCCACATGGTCAGCCACGGTTTGAATCCCAGACATGGTGGCCTGCTTTATTATTTCCTCTCTTACTCTCTCTCTCTCTGTCCCTCTCTGGTCAAATTAAATAGTTAAATAAAATAATTCTTTTTTTTTGAGAGTTTTTTGCTATAGGGCGCATGCGCTCACCAGAAAGATAGAAAGCGAGAAATCACTCCCCGAGGGGATGGCCATGCTGCAATCCCTTCTCCATTCTCTTGGGATCCTAGGCATGCACACACGCACACACCCAGCATGAGTTTAAACCACTGGGTCCAGGACTTGAACCCCGGCGGACTACATGGGAGTCCAGCAACGTAGTCATTATGCCATCTGCTGGTCCCAGATAAAATTTCTTTAAAAAAAAAAAAAAAAAGAATCTGTGCATCTGAACTTTTTATAAAAAACACTATTTCAGGACCAGGATGGAGAGAGTTCTGGCCAGTGCAACTTCCAGGCCCCCTACTTTCCCTTCCCTACAGACTTAAACAAGGATGTGGGAATGGTAAGTCACCTTTGACCATGCAGATGAGGACTACTCCCCAGGGGATGGTGGAGCCAACATGACAGAGGCACCCCAGGTCCTCAGGTGATCTTATGGAACAGTTGTCCTCAGGCCTGGACCTCTCAACTATCACATGAGAAATTTTTTTTTGGAGAGGTTTTTGCTATAGGGCATATGCGCTCACCAGACAAGAGAGAGCGAGAAATCACCCCCCAGGGGGGATGGCCATGCCACAATCCCTTCTCCTCCATTCTCCTCTCGGGATCTTGGGCACGCATGCACATGCACCTGGCTTGAGTTTTAAGCCAGCGGGTCCGGGACACGAACCATGGTCGACTACATGGGAGTCCAGCGACATAGCCATTACACTAACTGCTGGTCCTGAGAAATAAACTTTCTGTGCATCACTGTTTGGGTCTGTTACAGCACCTTATTAGCCTTTTGTCTAATCAGTCCACATCCCTATCTCCAACTGCCTCGCTTGTTCCAAAGACACTGGTGCCTAAAACACTTGTAAAAACCAACCTATCTACATACACACTGTTCTTATATTCCTGAACGGAGTATCCCAGCTATTTCTTGATCACAGCCCTATTACCTGTTTATCCTCCAGTCAGAATCTCTCATTCTTGACTCCTTCTATTCCCAGAACTGGTCACAGAAACCTTACAGGTTCTTCTGAATCCAACTATGCTGGTGCCATGGTTAACAATTCCCCCAAATGGAAGCTGTTGAGGTCATGAGACCTCCACCCTGACAAATGGATGAATGGCGTTGTAAAAGGGTTTAAGGCTGTAAATCTGATCTCTTGTATGTACACATGCATACCCCTTCCCCCTTGGCTCACTTTCTCCCATGTGCTTCTGAAAGAACACAGCAAGGCCCTTCCCAGGTGTGGGCCCCTCAGCCATGAACTTCCCAATCTCCAGAACTGTAAGAAATAAATGTTTCTTATAAATTACCCAGTCTCAAGCATTATATTATAGCAGCACAAAATGGACTAAGACACCTGGCTTTAGATGCTTTTTTCTCATTTGGCTCTCTGCATCCAATATCATACACTACAATGTTTTTTTTGTTTGTTTGTTTGTTTTCTTTTTTTCCCATTTTGCCAGTGTGTGTGCATTCTCAGTGGAGACAGAGAAAGGGGAAAGGAGAATGAGAAAGCACCCTTCGTGAAGGATGGTCATAAAACAACTACTTCTCCATTTCTCCCTCCTTCAGGATTTTGGGCACACACACACACTGAAGTGTTTCCTTAAGCTGCTGGGTCCAGAACTCAAACTGCATGGTCAGCTATGTGATACAGCTATTGTAACCACCAAGCCACTGGCTGCTCCACTTGATCTTTTTTAAAAATTATTTTAACTTTATTTTTAAAAAAAAATGATCAGAGAGAGACAGGGTGAGAGAATGAGAGTGAGATAGTGAGAAAGCAAGTCTCCAGGTATGGGATTCAAACTGCAATTGGCCACATGGGAATCCAGTACCCTTAACCACCATGCCACCTGCCAGCCCCTCCACTTAGTATCTTACATTGGAACCCTTCATGTTGTTTTGCTTACATTATAAACCTTCCTGAGACAGTCCCAGCTTAAGTCTCCAGCTTCTTTTCTGTACATATTCCTCATATACTTTACACCAAACACTACTCTTTTACTCCTCTAACCCTTTACAACTGTTGAGAGACAGGAAGAAAGCACTTCCTGATAGGGTGTAGTCGTGCTGTAATCCTTTCTTCTTCACTTCTCCGTCCCATTGGGATCTGGGATATGCATGTGCACACAACACACACCTGATGTTTTTTTTTGAGCCATTAGGCTGGGATTTGAACTTGAACTGGGGGATCTGGCTTCCCTTAACCACCAGGCTATAGGGCCAACCCACACTTGGCTCTTTTGAGTTGCCTACATCAATGCTTCTCAAATCTGGTAAAGAATAATCTAAAAAAAAAAAAAGAGTCCAATCTACTGTAGACCAATACTTTTGTAAAATGCAATAAACATGAATTACACAAATTATTAGAAAAACAGTCACATGCTTAGATGTCATGGTAATGACAACGTTTCTCCATGTTTACTTGCTCCTTTTTTTTTCTTTTGCTACAGGGTGTACGTGGTTTAGAGAGGAAAAAGTATCTTCCATTGGGAATGGTCATGACACAATCCCCTTCTCCAACTCTTGCTCCTTTCAAGATTTTAGGCACACACCACACATGCCTGGCATGTCTCTCAAGCTGCCAGGTCAGGGACTTGAACCATGTGGCTGGCCACATAGGATTTGTCTGCCTAACCGGCAGGCCAGACTTGGCCCCTCAATGTTTACTCTGCACCATCACCCACCATCAAGGTCTGACCATCACTGCTGCCTCCATTATACCTTCCCTGGCATAACACCCCAGTCATATCCTGTTCAACATATCCCTGTTTTTTTTCATACCTTGTTATAATCAATTACAAATTATGATAATGTTCTGTTAAATGACCAAAAGCAGCAAGCTCTTTGAAATAACGGATGTGTGGAATTCAGCTCTGCATCCTGAGTCTTGGCCTGTCCTGTGGTCAAAGCTCAAAAATATAATCAGCACATTAATGGATCCAACACACACCTGTGGCAAAATTCAGACAATAGGAAACTGTAACAACCCCAAATAGACTTTTAATGACTGGGATGTGGCTTAGACTCAAAAACTGAATGGTCTATCTAGGTCAAAGACAGAAGTCAAGAGTTCAGTAGGCTGTCTGAGATTGTTGCTGACGGTAGCCACCTCGGCGCATGTAGCCCTCGTTTTTGCGGTAGCCATCCTTCTGGTCTGTAGGAGAGACAGGGAGAAAGGGGGAGAGTGAGTGCCAGGGAAGAGGCAGTAAGAGGGCCAGGATCCCACGACAACAGAGACGAGGAAAGCACTCACCTCGGAAGTAGCCACCATAGGTACCCTGCTTGTGGTCGAATACCCGCTCGTTGTTCTCCACCAGGCTGCCCAGCTGGGCAGCCAGCTGCAGAGCCAGGTTCTGCTGGGCAGTGGGTTCAGTGCGGTGCATCACCACTGTCTGCGTTGGCTGGTCCAAGGAGGCCTGGCAACAGCAAGGCGGAGGAAGGGACATGATAGCTCAGCCCCCTCCACTCCAATCTGACTCCACCTGCCCACTTCCCATCCCAGTCCTTACCATCAATTCCTCATTAATAATCATCTTGCTGATAATGGAGTGCACAGTGGGCAGATCCAGCTCAAACATGTCAGATAGTGTCTCCATGCTGGGGAGAAAGATGGCAGAGAGCAGGGGGCAATTAGAATCCCTGACACAAAGCTGGCTCCCTCTACATCCCCAGGGCCCATCGTACCTGATGGAGTCATAGACACTGCTGTAGGTAAAAAGGTAGGTCCTCAGTGATTCTTCTTGGATCTTCCTGCAGGGAGAGGAGAGAGGGAGAGGTCCTCAGGGAAGGAAACCAACAAGTCCTTTCTACCCCCACCTACTGTGGCCTTTTTCTGCTCACCTCACCAGCATGGTGCGGACTTTGTCAGCCTCAGGGAAAAGATCCCACACTTTCCCATTCATCTTCTCGTTGATGATGAAACTGTGGCAGGTCTTCCAGTCACCCATCTTCATGGCCTTAGAGGCAGCAACCACATGTTCCCTCATTGACTCGGGGGGACCTGAAAGGTTGAGAATGAGGAGGGCCTAAGAAAACTTGGGACCAGGGCTACCAACCTCATGAGTACTATTTAAGGAGGAGCAGAGACCAGAAAAGCAAACAAGAGCAGAGACTCACAGGTCTCCACCAAGCATCCATGCAGCTGTACAAGTCACTTAAGATCTGAATTAATGGGGCCAGCAGATGCTTAGCAGTTACGTCGCTGGATTCCCATGGGCTGACCCACGGTTTGAGTTCTGGAATCAGTGGTTTCAAACTCACACCAGGCACATGTGTGTGCATGCCTAAGATCCCAGAAGAATAGAGAAGGGATTATGGTGTGGCCATCCCCACTACGGGGGAGGGAGGGGGGGTGATTTCTTGCTTTCTGTCTCTCTCTGTCTTTGTCTTTCCAGGGAGTACAAGTGCCCTATAGCAAAAGTTTGTCTTCCCCCTGAGGGGAAAAAAAAAAAAAACTTAATGAGTTTATATTTGGCCTAATGTGGTCTACAGATGCGCTTCAGGGGATTGGTGAACCCCTTGAAAAATGCTAACATATTATTATGTCTGTATCCTCAGGTACACCTTCCTACTAAAAGGATCTATCCATACTTTTCATCAGATTCTCATGGGCCACACTAATTGTTATGAAATGGGAACAGAGGTAGCTCCCCAAAAGAGAGATGCTGAAGAAGTTACCTATACATTTATATATTGTCCTTTTAATTGTATCAGATGCCAAGATTGTTTATAAGTAATCTAGAGATAGGAGATGTAAGTAGCCTCTATGCAAATATATCACATATACATAAATATTTTATTTGAGGGACTTGAGTATCTGTGGGGGTCCTGGAATGACTGTCCTGGAGAGATACCAAGGGATAACTGTGTATCACTTAGACTATTATCAGCTCAGCTTTTCAAAGTGGCTCATTTCTTCTCCTTAAAAAGTTTGCCCTTGGGGGAACCAGCAGTTAGCATAATGGCTATGTCGCTGGATTCCCACATGGTCGGCCATGGTTCACGTCCCGGACGTGGCTTGAAACTCACGCCGGGCACATGTGCATGCGTGCCCAAGATCCCGAGAGGAGAATGGAGGAGAAGGGATTGCGGTGTGACCATCCCCCCTGGGGGGTGATTTCTCGCTTTCTGTCTCTATGTCTCTCTGTCTGTCTGGCGAGCGCACGCGCCCTATAGCGGAAAACCTCTCAAAAAAAATAAATAAATAAAAGTTTGCCCTTGGGACCAGCAGATGACGTAATCATCCCGTTGCTGGACTCCCACCTAGTCCGCTGCAGCTTTATTCCCAGGCCCAGCGACTTAAAACTCACGCCTGGAGCATGTATGCATGCTCAACATCCCAAGAGAAAAATGGAGGAGAAAGGACTGCGGTGTGGCCATCTCCCCTGGGGAGTGATTTGACATTCGTGTCTCTCCAATAAGCACATATGCCCCAGTGTAAAAATATCTCAAAAAGAAAAACTGTGCCCTCTTTCTAAATTATCTATGAAATCCAGGTTTGACATGTTGATTATGGACTAGGGCCTCCAAACAGTCATGAGAGACAAGTCAGGAGGACAAGACATGACAAATGAGCGACCGGAATTCAGCAAAGATACGATGCTAAAGCCCCAAACTGGAAATGCATGGCAGACGTGCAGTAACATCAACATGGAAGACCCAAGAATAGGACAAGAAGCTCAAGTGCACACACAGATGAGGCCCAAGTGGAAATGTACGAACAGCGTTAAGCGTAAGGACAAGCAGACAGCCCTTAGGGTTAGCCTCCACTGTAACACCTCTGAAAGGGGCAAGGTTAAAGGCTCAAAGAACACCTCTCCACAAACCTAACAACAGTCCGGGGCTGAGAAAGACTGGCTTCCAGGCACACTGAAAGTAGTAAGAGAGGTGGGGACTGTGCTGAACCAGAGAGCCCTTCCCCACAACTGCTACTGCAGCTCTAGCCAAAGCAGACCCAGGGCTGTCAGAGCCACCAAAATTCTGACATGCAGCAATTTGGAATTTCATTGGAAATGTCCTTACAAAGTATCACTACGTAAACCAAACAAAATTTGCCTAAGAGTTCCCTGCACTTTATCATAACCATGCACATGCCTAGTAGAGGATAGGCCCTTTTTAAGGGGTCTGCGGTCAGTAAGCTTGGCTCACTCATCAAGCCTTTCCATGCACCAATCTCATAGAAATGGCAATGAAATTCCCTTCCCATTTAGTCACCACTCATCCAACTGCTGTGATTGGGTCTTTCAAGAGTGGCCAAAGGAGCCAATGTTAGGTTCTTGAGTAAGGCTCCATTACAGTTAGTTTGTAATGTAACATACATGATGGGGACTAACGTACATGAGGAGGAGGAGGAGAAGAAAAGGTGGGGGGATAGAGACATGTATCAGTTGTAGTAAACTTGGGCATGTTACTTAACTTCTCTGTGCCTCTGTTTCATCATCACGAAAAAGGGGGTAATATTGGGTCATCGGAAAAATTATGTTTATTTTCAACGTCTTTCTATGCAAAAATCCATTATGACTTTTCTGACAACATAATAGTACCTACATAACAGGGTTTTTTTTAATCTTTTTTTTTGCTTTAGGGCACATACACTCACTGGAGAGACAGAAAGTGAGAAATCACCCCCTGGGGGTGGTGGTGGTGGCCATGCCACAATCCCTTCTTCTCCAGTTTCCTCTTAGGATTTTGGGCAGGAATG